AAAAAAAAAAAAGAAAAAAAAGGAATTTGGTCTGGAAGCAAAATTGGGGAATGTATGTATGTAATAAAAGTTGATAATTAAAAAAAAAAGAGTTGTTAGACATAACACCAAGAGCATGATTCAAATTTTTTTTAATCAATAAATTAATTTCAAAGTTAAAAATATTTGCTCTAAAAAAGATCCTGTTAAGAGGACAAAAAGACAAGCTACAGAGTATGAAAACTGATTAGCAAACCACCTACCTGTCAAAGAACTCATATCTAAAATATGCAAGGAACTCTCAAAACACAACACTTAAAAAAGAAAACAATCCACTAGGAAAATGAGCAAAGAATGTGAGGAGATATTTCACCAGAAAAGACATACAGATGACAAGCACATGATAATATGTTCTATGTCATCAGCTATCAGGACGATAACCTGGGTCTCAATTATTTCTTGTTCCTCTTTGGAAAAGACAAAGACAGAGATCTGTAAGTCAGTGCTAAGGAGGTATGGGGGGAGGAGGTTGGATGGGAGAGAGAGAAGACACGAGTGGAGATACAAGAGACAGAGTCCATTTCATAACTCAGGCTGAAGCTGGAGACAGGTTGGCCATGTCTCTTGTATCTCCCAAAAACACAAGCCTGAAAATGCCTACCCATACACCAGGTAAGAGGTTACCCGTGGAAACTAGGGAGACCCACATGGTTATAACCCCAATATTCGGATGGGTGACTGATAGTGTGTAAAGGTGGAGTTGGCAAACCTTTTCTGTAAAAGGCCAGACAGCAAATACTTCAGATTTCCAGGCCACATGGTCTCTTTGGCAACTACTCAACTCTGCCTGCCATTATGGCATTAAAACAGTTACAGACAATAATACATAAATGAATAAATGAACGCATAGCTGTATTTCAATAAAACTTTATTACTGGACACTGATATGTGAATTTCACATAACATCCATGTGTCTTCCATACTTTCTCTTGTGGCATACAGGCCATAAGAAAACATGAATAGTCAGTAAACCAAAGGCCATAAGTCACTAATCCCTGATATAGATCTTAGATAATGAGGTTTGTTATCGAGAGTATACAGGGTGGCCATAAAGTTTGTGTAAATTTAAAATAGTTGTCTATTTTAAATTGCATGTGAACTTTATGGCCACCCTGTATGTATAATTCTCACTTAATACTTGATTTACAATGCAGTTATTTCCTAGATCCATACATTCCACTTCTAGAAGTTCATGACAAGGAAATAACCATGGTTGTGCACAAAAATTTGAAATCAAACACTGTTATCCCTTCCGGGATGATAATAATGAAAAAAATGGACATATTCAAACATACAATAACAGCAATGGCTCAAAACTCTGAGGCCATCCAAAGGATGGAATGCTATGAAGCCATGTCAACAACTATCTGGAAAGAGAAAAAGCAAATGTGATTAAATATTAATAATTTGTGAATCTAAGGGTAGGCTGTTTGGGTGTTCACTGTCAACTTTTCCGAAGGTTTGAAATATAAAGTTAGAAATATATATATGGTTTTTGTTGTTTTCTTTTTTTTTGAGACAAACTCTCACTCAGTTGCCCAGGTTAGAATGCCGTAGCATCACCATAGCTCACAGCAACCTCAAACTCCTGGGCTCAAGAGATTCTCTTGTGTCATCCTCCTGAGTGGCTGGGACTAGAGAGGCCTGGTACAATGCCCAGCTAATTTTTCTATTTTTTTTTTGAGACAGAGCCTCAAGCTATCCCCCTGGGTAGAGCGCTGTGGCATCACAGCTCACAGCAACCTCCAACTCCTGGGCTTAAGCAAGTCTACTGTCTCAGCCTCCCAAGTAGCTGGGACCACAAGCGCCTGCCACAACGCCCGGCTATTTTTTGGTTGCAGCCATCATTGTTTGGCAGGCCTGGGCTGGATTCGAACCCACCACCTTAGGTGTATGTGGCTGGCGCCTTAGCTGCTTGAGCCACAGGCGCCGAGCCGTATTTTTTTTTTTTTTTTAGTAGAGACAGGGGTCTTGCTCTTGCTCAGGCTGGTCTTGAACTCCTGAGCTCAGGTGATCTACCTGCCTCAGCTTCCCAATGTGCTAGGATTACAGGCATGAGCCACCATGCCCAGCCAGAAATACATACATATATATTTTTTTCCCCTGGCTTTTTTTTTGTTGTAATTGTCACTGTTGTTCGGCAGGCCTGGACTGGGTTCGAACCGCCAGCTCTGGTGTATGCGGCTGGTGCTCTAGCCCCTGAGCTACAGGTGCTAAGCCAGAAATATATTTTTAAAAGTAAAATTTTTAAAAAATTAAAATTTTTTTTGTGAAATGTAAGTTAATAGACTTGTAAAAATCCACCTCCAGCCCATCAGAACTATGTTCTCTCTGTTAAATAAACATAAATGTTTTCTCTTTTCACAGGAAAATGGTATACATGTAGATTAACTAGGTAATATTTATCCTACTACCTAGTGTCTGTTTCAATCATAATAAACGTAATTTTAACTATATGTGTCATGAGATTTACAAAACTATGTTTTTTTAAAAAAAAAAAGTGTTCCCTTTACAATCATCTTGCTCTAATGGCAAAGAATAGCTTAAATTGCTTCAGACTTGAGCACTTAGAAAAAAACTTGCTTTCAGGGACCAAGGCCAGGTGCAGTGGCTCATGCCTGTAATCCTGGCTCTTCAGGAGGCCAAGGTGGAGAACTGCTAGAGTTCAAGACCAGCCTGGACACTTATATTTTTCTCTACAAGAAATAAAAAATTAGTCAGGCTGGTGGTGCTCACCTGTACTCCTTGCCACCCTAGAGGCTTAGGTAAGCTGATTGCTTGAGCCCAGGAGTTACAAGATACAGTGAGCTCCGTATGATTGCACCACTCTCTCCAGCCTGAGCAAGAGAGTGGGACAGAGCCTCTTTAAAAAATTCCACTTTTATACAAGTTATTTGGGAAGCCTTTCTTGGTAGGGGCATATGCTCTCCAGGTGGAAACAGCAACTGGGGGATCCTGGCATCTGGGTTCTCCTCTTAGCTCAGGCCTGGATTTGCCAGGTTAGATGCTCTTGTTTGAAAATCTAAATGGGAAATAAATTCACTCAGTCACTCAAGTACATAAAAATAAATTTATAAAAAATTTACACTTGTGGCTCAGCGCCTGTGGCTCAAGCGGCTAAGGCGCCAGCCACATACTCCTAAGGTGGCGGGTTTGAATCCAGCCCGGGCCCGCCAAACAACAATAATGGCTGCAACCAAAAAATAGCCGGGCGTTGTGGCGGGCGCCTGTGGTCCCAGCTACTTGGGAGGCTGAGGCAGGAGACTCGCTTGAGCCCAGGAGTTGGAGGTTGCTGTGAGCAGTGAAGCCATGGCACTCTACCCAGGGGCTCAGCTTGAGGCTCTGTCCAAAAAAAAAAAAAAAATTTACACTTGTAAATAAAAAGATAGGAATTATTTCCTACTAAAGGATAGCCAATCTTTGGCAGAAGCTTTCAGAGACCCTCTATTTGACCACTAAATGTGATTAGACAATAGCGCATTGTCAATGTCTGCTTTAGTCCCAGTTACACATTGAGGGCCACAGAGCTGTTTAAATGCTCACATCATTCCCATTACTAAAAGTGAAACCCAAACCTCCCTTGTGAAAAATCAACACCCAAGCAAACAGATCACACGGGATATATTCCCTTCCTCACAAACCATAACCGTAACCAATTCTCGCCCGTCGGGTTCCGAGGCACTGCTTTTAAATACTAAACGTGTCACTCCCACTCTTACCTTTACCTGTGTCTCCCCTACCCAGAACCCGCCAAATCTCATGAAGCCCCACCCGCACTAGACATGCACGGTTCTCATAGGCTCTGCGCGCCGCTTTCGCAGTCCCGATTGGCCTGTTCATTGCCAGATGGTAGCTGCTCCCACGCTCCGCAGTCAACGGCGAAGGCGTAGGATTCCGTAACGCCCCGCCCATTTCTTCTCCCGTTCAGCCTGTCTTCTTTCATTCAGTGCCGCCCCTCCCCACCTAGCTATTTGGTTGGACAGCGCGCTAGCTTACGTCATTCACCGGCGCCACCCGGAAGCTGCGGCTCATACCAACCGTTCTTTTTGCCGGCGGCCCTGAGGTAAGGGCCGCGTTTGGGTGTCTCTGGGTGGCCAGGTCCCTGAGTTGGGAGGTGCGGAAAGCGGAACCCCCATCATGAGCCGGACGACCCTATTCCCAACGTTGAGAAAGTGGAGATGAACTGTGTATGAGGCCAAACTGAAGTGGCCAACGTGGTCTCCCCCCCTCCCCAGTCCCCAGGAACTCATCATGGCGACGCCCCCTAAACGGCGCGCGGTGGAAGCCACGGGGGAGAAAGTGCTGCGCTACGAGACTTTCATCAGTGACGTGCTACAGCCGGACCTGAGGTTAGTGACAGAGCAGGGGGCGGGACGTTTGGAACACTGGGTGTGGTGGATGGGGCGTTCGGAGTTAGGGCCAAACCTTCGGATTGGTGGGCGAGGTGTTCGGAGTCCGGCCCTGCGTTGGAGCGTGAAGTGGGGGGGGGGCCGACATCCGGTATGCGATTTGGCTAGAAAGTGGTGTTCGTAACAGAGGATATGATTGTGCATGCGCGGCCTCAATGTTATTCAACAGATTAGAGCTAGATTTCCAGAGCCAGGGTTACAGGGTTCGAATCTTGGCCCGGCCACTTTGCCACCCTTGTGAACACATTGTACCTTGCCTTGCCTTTCTGTAGTTTATAAACTCTCCTTATCTGCGAAATTAGGAAGTCTATGGAATCTTCCTCATGTAATGGCTTTGAATTTTCAACGTGTTCAATTTAGCATGTTAAGAATTTAGCGGCTTGGCGCCTGTGGCTTAAGTGGCTAAGGCGCCAGCCACATACACCTAAGGTGGCGGATTCAAATCCAGCCTGGGCCTGCCAAACAACAATGATGATGGCT